TTTAAATGTGTGACAATGGGGTATGTTTTAGGGGTAGTCAAAAGACAATGGAATATGTGTCAGGGGTAGACAAAACCTACATCGGTACAACAAAAATATGTTTTAATAATTTCACATACATAACTGAATTTTAATTATATATTACTGCAGTATATATAGATCTGATCTCAACTAAAGCAGGTGTTGACTTTAAAATGCTTTTATATACAAGCAAAAATATTTTCTATTAAAACATGGCATGATAGATGTATTGTTCTTATATGCGTTCAGTGTATCTAGTCAAACCCGAAGTTTCACCAATCTAGCCACTTAATTTCACTTACAAATGATACAATACTATTCCTAAACGTAATGATATCGAACAGTTTCTAAAGAGTTGTTCAGCTTTTAACTGTCAATTACAAAAGACAATTAATAATCGTTATTATGTTAAATTAACAGTAAAGTATTTGAAAGCATAAGTTAAATGAATATAGTATTATCAAAGACTTAAGAAAAGGAATAACATATACCTGTTATGTAGGAAAGGAAGGCGATGAGTCCCAAAAGCGCCGCCATTTTCATCCAAACTACTGACATTAACTGGTAATCGTGTGTATTATACACCGAGTTCCAATAGTGTTGTCATAACGGTCTAATACGTATTAAACATCAGTCAAGCATATAGAGAACAATAGGCTACAAAGTACACCTGGTCTTGAAAGGTATTACATATTTAAGGGTTGGACTTTTGGTGGACATATTGCATTATATTTTCAACATAATCACCTTCAGTATCTATGCACTTTTGCCAGTGATGTTTAAGGGCCGCAATGCCCCTTTCAAAGAAGACATTTTCTTGACCATTCAAAATGTCCTCCACCGATGTATAACATCATCATCTGACAGAACGTGGGTCTGGGAATGACCTTTTTCAATTTTGGAAATAGATGAAAGTCTGATGGAACATTATCAGGCAAATAAGGCGGGTGGTCGATCAATGCAAAGCCAAAGTCGTTAATGGTAGCCATGGCAATGACAGACTTGTGAACAGGCGCATTCTCCTGGTGGAGCACCACACATTTACTGAGTTGTCAGCGGTACTTGAGTTTAACATTTTTTTTTCGTAACTGTCTTTACCTTCTCTTGCTGCATGATGTGTGCCATTGATTGTGTGTCCTTTTACAGATAATCTACCATCAGAATACCATCATTATCCCAGAGAACCGAGGTTATAACCTTTCTAGCTAATGAAACAGCCTTTTCCTTCTTTGGGATGAACCAGTGTGCTTCCATTGTTTATACTGTTGTTTGGCCTCTGGGGGTGAAATGATTTACACACATTTTATTTATAGTCACAGACCTCTGCATAAAGTCCCTTTATGCAAAAAGGCAAAGTGGGACGGTGTCTGAGCAAATATACTAAACAAAAAAAGAAAGGTAACACTACTTTATTCTGTGATTAATTAATTAACCCCTTCATAAATCCTTACCAATCATGTACGAATAAAGTAATTGATCAATTATGAAAAAACTGCAGTCATGGTTCATTATAAAACTTTGCGTTCAGTTGATTTTATTCGACTGTAAATGACATTGGGGTCAATTTCAAAGGTAACACCATTAGTTACGGGTATGGCCACCGTTTGCGAAATAAACAGCATTGCAGCGTCGTCGCATGGAACTCTTAAACCGGCGGATAATTCGAGGAGAGATGTTGTTCCATTCAGCGATCAAGGCATGGGCCAGCTCCTGCAAGTTTGACGGCTGATTTTGACGTTCTCTCACGCGTCGCCCAAGAACGTCCCAGACATGCTCAATCAGTGAAAAATTAGGTGATTTAGATGGCCAATCTAACACCTGTACGTTATTCTGCTGCAAGAAAGTTCTACTGACGCGACTGGTGTGCGCTGGTGCGTTATCCCGATAACGTCCCGATATCGAATGCCGGTTAAATTGTCATTTAACACAACAAGCCTGGTACGAGTCCCCCCACAAATACCACCCCAAACTATTACACTTCCGCCGCCAAAGCGGTCCCGTTCTGCGACGCAGCAGTTCGCAAAACGCTCCCCTCGTGGCCTCCACACTCTGCGCACACACGACGCCCAAACAATGTCCTTTTAGTCTCTACTTCGGTTACGAATCGATTGCGCAAGTGTATCAATCGTATACGACGGTCATCCCTGGCGGTCGTTTTACGGGGTCGGCCGCTTCGAGGACGATCGGATGTTGACCCATTTTGGTTTAAAAGACTTACCAAGTGGTAAATTGTCTGAACACTGCAACCAAAATGCCGTGCAACTCGACGGCGAGACTCCCCAGCCTGGATCATGCCTACAGCCCTTTCTCTCTGTACTTGTGACAGCCGGGGCATAATGATAAAGTTGATAGATAGCAAGATTCGGTGATTTCTAAGACCTAACGATCCAAGGAACAGTTGTCAGTTTGAATGTTTATGAAATTCAAGCGAAGATACAAGTTAGTCGCAGAAAACCTCGTGCAGCTCTTTCGCTAATACAGACTTTCACGCTTGAATGATTTTGGTAACCCCCTTGGATTTTGTAATGTAAAACATTTTCATTTTCTAATATTGCACAAACGTCATTTTGTTTTCACTCATTTACAGGTATTTGCCAAGGAAACATGTTAAGCTTTCTTTTTTGTTGAGTATATGTCCGATATTCATAATAACAGCCAGGATGTTATTTGGAACCTATCTATGTTGGGGCTTACAGATTCCATCAAAAACCAAAACCCATATAAAATCAATACATCTAAACCCACCAACCCCAGATAACACCAAATATAAGAAAATTATTGAGAAAAAGATACAGTCTTTATATAAAATTGAAAAAAAAATATGGTAACGCTGACTCGAGATTTAAGTAGAAGTAAATCACTACATGTCTGGCCCAGAAAATGTCCCAAGTTCAGTTCATACCTGAAGACCATCGTTTAATTTCATTGACATGTATGTGCAGCAAATAATCATGGCGCATATCATTGTCAGTAAAGTCACGACGCATGGTGTTTTGTATCTCCTATATTGTGGCTTTCGTAAGTCAAGGTCATGTGAAAGTCAGCTGAACGGGTTTACAGACGATGCTACCAACACCATGGACAATGACACTCGCTCACTCCTAAGTTGGACACGATGGTATAAGTGACTTCTTACCACCTGGAATTCTTCTCTCAAACAGGACACAGACTGTTCTTGCTGAAAAGGTCGGAGTATGCCAATGTCTTGTCTGGAGTCCAACACAGGCACTCGAGGCCAGGATATTATTTTTTAAACGTTGATTTTTGTTTTAGCACTCATGACTGACGTTATTTAAACGAAATATCAGCAGAATTCAAGTTTATGTGCCGGTTGACAAATCCGAGGTCCACGGTCATTAAAAATACACAAGGCAAGCAACTCCAGATTTTAAAAAATCGACCCCTCGCTTGGAAACTGGCTCAAAAAAAGTAGTTATGATAAGTTCCTTGTAAAACAATATGTATCCGTAGGTAGTGTGTATATTTACCTTTTATTTGGTGCATAACATTACAGGCAACGAGAAATTCACAATACGTACATGAGATTAACATCTCAATAATCGGAGATTTTATCGTCCATGTAATTATCTTTGACGGAAGTAACATGCCATTTCAAGGGCGGTCACTCCGACTTTTTGGGAGAGGAGTTCCGGATAGCACTATACCAGTGAACAGGTAAGAAAGGTTCCGATGTCATTACGCGCGTAACTTCAAAATAGATATTTTTATTTCTACAAATACATTTGCGGGGATGGAAAAATAATGGCTGGGCAAAGAAAGTCCACAGTTGCCAACTCGGATACAATATCATGGTAAGGGATTATACAGAATGCATCAAATTTCAATCAAGCTGGCGGTAATGAGAATTTTTTTTCAAAAAAAAAATAGAAAAAAAAAATCATGCAGATAATGAAAAAAGGGCGCAATTTATGAAAAATATCGTGGGGGAAATATATTAACTTAGAAATTGGAAATTAAATGATTTTTTTCTATTTTTTTTTTAAATGCCCAGCCATTATTTTTCCATCCCCGCAAATGTATTTGTAGAAATAAAAATATCTATTTTGAAGTTACGCGCGTAATGACATCGGAACCTTTCTTACCTGTTCACTGGTATAGTGCTATCCGGAACTCCTCTCCCAAAAAGTCGGAGTGACCGCCCTTGAAATGGCATGTTACTTCCGTCAAAGATAATTACATGGACGATAAAATCTCCGATTATTGAGATGTTAATCTCATGTACGTATTGTGAATTTCTCGTTGCCTGTAATGTTATGCACCAAATAAAAGGTAAATATACACACTACCTACGGATACATATTGTTTTACAAGGAACTTATCATAACTACTTTTTTTGAGCCAGTTTCCAAGCGAGGGGTCGATTTTTTAAAATCTGGAGTTGCTTGCCTTGTGTATTTTTAATGACCGTGGACCTCGGATTTGTCAACCGGCACATAAACTTGAATTCTGCTGATATTTCGTTTAAATAACGTCAGTCATGAGTGCTAAAACAAAAATCAACGTTTAAAAAATAATATCCTGGCCTCGAGTGCCTGTGGAGTCCAACAGAGTTTGGTAATCGGCCCAACATTGTTCTTAATTATAGCAATGATATGTCAGTAGAGTTTGGTGCTACAATTCGCCTTTCTTGCGGGTGACACTAGAGCCTATTTTGGCAATAGCATCTAATATTGACATTGCAGTGTTACAGCTATTTCATTAAACGTGCAGGATTCATTCATCACGAATAGTATATCGATTTCCCCTTTCTTTCTAAATAACATGAACAAATAATCGATATTGTTTTCTTTAATTTAGTTGTTAGGCGAAACAAAGTCGGACTCACGCAAAACACAATAAAAAATCGTCATTTGTGAATTTTTTTTATTAAAATAATTCGTATAAAATTAAAACTACTTCAATGATTTATCAATGAACGATGACTTTTCTATCATTTAAGCAAATGTGATTTTGCATATTGTAGTCACCTTTAGCAAGGTTTTTTCAGTGTGACGTCATAGTTCATTAGAGGAATTCATGATATCATTAATTGACGTCGTTATACTTGATTGTACAAACGCAAATTATCGAATAGACAAATTCACTAAGGATAAGTCAATCACGAGATAAAGCATGCTAAAAAGTGCGAGCTGTAAAAAAAATGATGACTAATGAATAATTTTCTAAACAAATGTTCACAATTTGGTATGAAGAAGGCGTATATTAAAGTTCATCTTTATTATAATACTTGTGTATGCTTATATTAGGTACCAAGTGAATATTGGCTAGTGCTAGAATTACCACCAATCACATCACACATTGTGCTACAACATGTATTTGGCTGTACTCAAAGTTGTGACCATAAATTCATTTGTCATATTTTGACACATTCTAAATGAATTATGGGTATGCATTCCAACCAATCCGACATTACGTAATAAGATATTGAGTTTCCCAATGCCTAAAATAGTTAGTTTATACGGTTTAAACGTTCCCCTTTCATTACAAGTGATATAATGAAAAATGATGAGTTTCGGCTGTCATAGAATAAACACAGCAATGATATTATATACACGAGGCTAGTTAGAAAACAGATATACAGGGAGTGTAAAATGTGTACACCTGTAGGATTCTTCGACTCTGAAATATGTCTATGTCCTACACTGACGATATCTACAAAGGATTTTTAAAAAAAAACATAGCATGTTAACGATCCATATCATCACACAATGGCCCAAAACATCAAAATCAATGTACAGGTAACAACGTCTATACAGTATTGTAGTGTCATTGTATCAAATCCCATTTCAGTTGGAGGAATGTTAGTAAACAACTGGCTGACCAGGCATGTGTGGTGGGGGTGGAGGTGGGTAAGCTGGTGGTCCTCCAGGGTGCGCGCCGTAATATACAGGTTGTTGGGGAACAGGCTGGGGATAGTACGGCTGCTGCTGCTGCATGTGATGGGTGTTAACTGTTGAAACATAGAACAATGAGGTGGAATTATTTCAACAAAACGAGTTGGTCAAAAATATCTGTGTTTGTCTTATCAATGACGTCACCATGTAACTATTGGTGATAAACGTCAGAGACTTCTAGTTTTTTGTTCTCTTTACAAACACAGGGAAGTAACATAACATTACAAAAAGGAAGAAAAAAGCCATTGTGGACAAAATTGTTTTTGTTATATCACCCTGTACATTGCTACGGACCGACTTGTTCTTCATGTTATGTGTATATATGTATTTAGTTTATCGATTAATTAATGATTAAATACTATATCTGTCATAGATATCAGGACGACAAAAGACAGCATGTCTTCTAACACTGTATTAATATGTTGAACATGAATTGTATTAAATTGATAGAATAAATGCATATTTATTCTGCTAAAATAAATTTCAGATTTAATTTATCAAATAGTTTATGTTGTTCGACAGAAGGAAAAGCTTTGTTCCTCTCAACGCCATTGTAATTATTAATAAAAGTCTCGTACATCTTGGTTATTGTGTTTAATTTTCCATTGTCTCGTTTGCCATGAACCCCCTGCACTCACCTACGTTGATGTTGGCCCCAGTTTGACCTTGTGATGCCACGATCACACCAGTCTTTTGCGCACTGCATTTCTTAATGATAATGATGATGACGACGACAAAGACGATGAAGATGACTGCTCCGATAACAGCTCCAGCGATAGTCCCGGCCCTTTGAAAGTTAAAGATAAGATGATTGGTCAATAACCTATGTAAATAACGAGTATACATTGTTCAAAAAAGTTCTGTTACTTTGTCTTTACAATAGGGGTGATATAAAGGACAGGCCTTATATCTAGCATGGCTAAGTACGTGCTCAAATGTATTGAAAATGCGATAATGATGTCGGCATCCTAATGCTAGTTGTCCTTTGGACATCCCATCTCTTCCCTTCTCTTCCCTTCTCCCCCGTTCTCTCACCTTTCTCCCTCTCTCCCCTTCCCTCCCCCTTCTCTTCCCTTCTCCCCCGTTCTCTCACCTCTCTCCCTCTCTCCCCTCTCCTTTTCTCCCTCTCCCGTTCTCTCACCTCTCTCCCTCTCTCCCCTTCCCTCCCCCTTCTCTTTCCTTCTCCCCCGTTCTCTCACCTCTCTCCCTCTCTCCCCTTCCCTCCCCCTTCTCCTCCCTACTCCCCCGTTCTCTCACCTCTCTCCCTCTCTCCCCTTCCCTCCCCCTTCTCCTCCCTACTCCCCCGTTCTCTCACCTCTCTCCCTCTCTCCCCTTCCCTCCCCTTCTCTTCCCTTCTCTCCCGTTCTCTCACCTCTCTCCCTCTCTCCCCTTCCCTGCCCCTTCTCTTCCCTTCTCCCCCGTTCTCTCACCTCTCTCCCTCTCTCCCCTTCCCTGCCCCTTCTCTTCCCTTCTCCCCCGTTCTCTCACCTCTCTCCCTCTCTCCCCTTCCCTGCCCCTTCTCTTCCATTCTCCCCCGTTCTCTCACCTCTCTCCCCTTCCCTGCCCCTTCTCTTCCCTTCTCCCCCGTTCTCTCACCTCTCTCCCTCTCTCCCCTTCCCTGCCCCTTCTCTTCCATTCTCCACCGTTCTCTCACCTCTCTCCCTCTCTCCCCTTCCCTGCCCCTTCTCTTCCCTTCTCCCCCGTTCTCTCACCTCTCTCCCTCTCTCCCCTTCCCTCCCCCTTCTCTTCCCTTCTCCCCCGTTCTCTCACCTCTCTCCCTCTCTCCCCTTCCCTGCCCCTTCTCTTCCCTTCTCCCCCGTTCTCTCACTTCTCTCCCTCTCTCCCCTTCCCTGCCCCTTCTCTTCCCTTCTCCCCCGTTCTCTCACCTCTCTCCTCTCTCTCCCTCCCCCTTCTCTTCCCTTCTCCCCCGTTCTCTCACCTCTCTCCCTCTCTCCCCTTCCCTCCCCGTTCTCTCCCCTTTGACCAAAATCATTCTAGTAGAATAGGTAACAAACAACAATGTTATGTAGTATGCTTTTTCTTTATTTATTTTCCATGTGTTTCAAATTCGAAATTTGTATCGAAGGTTGCTGTTTACTTTTGAGATTGGTGGAGTTTGACTGCTGTTGGGCTTCAGATTCCTAACGGGTTTTCTTATAGCCCCGTATATCACTTTTAATTCGTATGAATGATTGCAAGGTTTAAAATGTGTACTGAAACTTAAAATTGGACATGGGCCATTCACTAGTGTGTTTTTGTACATTTTGTTAATATCATGTATGTGTGTCGGTGTGACTATATGACCCTGTACAGTATTGAGTTATTTATGATTCTGAATTGTCTCCCTTTTATACAAGATCGATGGTGATTTCCGACATCTACTTACGACGATTCACAACATTCCCGGTCATAGTAATAGCCACAGCAGCCTTCCGAACACTCTATGTAGTAATTATAGTAGTAGTAGGAGTAGTAGTAATAAGTGTAGTATCCAGCAGCACAGGTTTCAGCTGTCACACCTGTTACATTGTACAGAGAGAAACATCAAATTATTATATAATCAAAACTGCTATACATAACGTAATATTGAGTGGATTAGCAGTTAATCATATGATATACTTATTTTTCAGTTAATGGTCTCGTGTAATGTTTTTGTGCATTGCATATGATGACATGACGTCACTCTAACACACAGAGTTTAGAGTCGAAATAACTTAACTGGAGGTGAAAATAACTAAATTGTAGGCTGAAATGACAGACCTGCAGGCGAAAATAACTGAACTGGAGGTGGGAATGATTGAACCGGAGGTGGGAATGACTGAGCTGGAGGTGGGAATGATTGAACTGGAGGTGGGAATGACTGAACTGGAGATGGGAATGACTGAGCTGGAGATGGAAATGACTGAACTGGAGATGGGAATGACTGAGCTGGAGGTGAAAAAGACTGAACTGGAGATGGGAATGACTGAGCTGGAGATGGGAATGACTGAACTGGAGGTGAAAAAGACTGAACTGGAGGTGAAATTGACTGACCTCGAGGTGAAAAAGACTGGACTGGAAGTAGGAATGACTGAACTTGACTGAATATGAAATGGTTCAATATAATTGATTTTTATACAAAACTGTGTGTCTAATTCATTATACACTACCAAACATACTTACAACATCTTTGATACGTAATCATATACATCGTGTTGTAACTTTTTACCATACATTCAAATGAACATACATACAACACCATTGGTAACGAGTAACATTTCACTGTGTTTGTCCATCATATTACATTGTGTAAGTCCATCACATTACACCGTGTAAGTCCATCACATTACACCGTGTAAGTCCATCACATTACACCGTGTAAGTCCATCACATTACACCGTGTAAGTCCATCACATTACACTGTGTAAGTCCATCACATTACACTGTGTAAGTCCATCACATTACACTGTGTAAGTCCATCACATTACACTGTGTAAGTCCATCACATTACACTGTGTAAGTCAATCACATTACACTGTGTAAGTCCATCACATTACACTGTGTAAGTCCATCACATTACACCGTGTAAGTCCATCACATTACACTGTGTAAGTCCATCACATTACACTTGTATGTCCATCACATTACATTGTGTAAGTCCATCACATTACACTGTGTAAGTCAATCACATTACACTGTGTAAGTCCATCACATTACACTGTGTAAGTCCATCACATTACACTGTGTAAGTCAATCACATTACACTGTGTAAGTCCATCACATTACACTGTGTAAGTCAATCACATTACACTGTGTAAGTCCATCACATTACACTGTGTAAGTCCATCACATTACACTGTGTAAGTCCATCACATTACAGTGTGTAAGTCAATCACATTACACTGTGTAAGTTCATCACATTACACTGTGTAAGTCCATCACATTACATTGTGTAAGTCCATCACATTACACTGTGTAAGTCCATCACATTACATTGCGTAAGTCCATCACATTACACTGTGTAAGTCTATCACATTACACCGTGTAAGTCCATCACATTACACTGTGTAAGTCAATCACATTACACTTGTATGTCCATCACATTACATTGTGTAAGTCCATCACATTACACTGTGTAAGTCAATCACATTACACTGTGTAAGTCCATCACATTACACTGTGTAAGTTCATCACATTACAGTGTGTAAGTTCATCACATTACACTGTGTAAGTCAATCACATTACACCGTGTAAGTCCATCACATTACACTGTGTAAGTCAATCACATTACACTTGTATGTCCATCACATTACATTGTGTAAGTCCATCACATTACACTGTGTAAGTCCATCACATTACAGTGTGTAAGTTCATCACATTACACTGTGTAAGTCAATCACATTACATTGTGTAAGTTCATCACATTACACTGTGTATGTCCATTACATTACACTGTGTAAGTCCATCACATTACACTACTAAACTCGTCAAGACAGTTATTGTGCTAAAAGACTTTTTTCATTTGATTATCATCTAAATCATCGCAATGGAATCCTTGATTGCGCCTAATATTCACAACTGATTGAGCTTGTTAGTATTGTTACCTCATAACGCATAAACAATGGTACATTGCACGGATTATCGGTGTTTTTATGTATAAATAAGACTGTATATATATGTATGTAGTAGGTATAAATATTGTTATTGTGTACATTTATAAAATCAACTTTGACAATCTTCCTGTCGATCTTTTTTATCTGATCATTTTAATTTTTTCGCTCTCCTAAAGTATTCGTTTCAAAATATTTTATTTAATCAAAAAGGTTTAACAGGAATTGGGAAACATCTGTATATTGGAATACCAGTAGAAACCCTCTTATGACTCATGATTATAAAATGATTGATATTTAACAACTAAACCGCCATTATCTGTTTAATTACCTTATAGTAAGATAAAATTATTGTACATACAATGTTAAACAAATCTGAGTGCTGTTACACTAACTATAATATTACTGAAGAATACTTTATGTAATAATTTGATGAATATCGATGACACTATGTTCTTACTCGAGAGTAACTATTTGAGCAACAAATGAAATAGGTGTAAGACCTATCTTATTCAATAACATCAGAAATATGTCTACACCAACATCAATCAATAAACGTATTTGAAAGTATAATCTGAATGAATTTGTATTTTTTATAATTCTTTGGAAAAAGCATACCTGCTATATAGGACAGGAAGGCAACAAGTCCTAAAAGATTTGCCATTTTTCCACTGGATCTGTTTAAACGTTTGGAGTCGCCCTATCTACAGCTTATCTACTGACTGTCGTGTTAAATCCAGTCTTTAAATATATGGCACATTGCAGTAATTGTATTCTTGATCGTGCGTATGGAGAACAATAGATCGGTTACAATCTTGCATGCTTCAGTGGTAACACCAAAACTACAACAGTATTTAAGAAAAAAATGAATATGTATCCTATATACATGTAGTGATCTGAGATAAGCAATATGGATATTAAAACATGATCTGAAATAAGAAAGAGTTGCATACCATTTGTAAATCATCACAGAAATGAATTTCGACTGAGCACTTACAAAAACTTATGTAATATTCAATATTCAAATGCGAGTGGCAATCGTATCGTTCATCTGGTTAAGTTCGCTAAAATCAGAGGAATAGCATCTAGATATTTAAATATATTTCCATATTAGGCCCACTCCATTTTTCTCAAAGTGAGGGGATGCTTTAGATGCACCGTTTAAACAAAACTGTTTTCCCATCACCCAAGGACATCACTTCGGACCAAATTTGAACAAAAGTCATTCATTATCTGATAGGGCCTCGCCCCTCAAGCGCCAGGGGGCCGATCCACTGTTCGCACAAAACTTATCCTCTTCACCTAAGTATGATGAAGTATGGGATAGAATCCCAGCCTTCTTACAAAAAAGTATTTTAAAGAATTAGCAGTATTTCCCTATTGTACTCCGTCAATCCTGATCCAGAGGGACCGGAATCCAGCCCTTCACCCAAAGATACTTCAGACTGAATCAGGAAGCATAATCCTAGGATTGCTACAGAAATTCTTTAAAAGAATTTGCCAAATTTCCACATTTGACTACGCCTCTCAGACTAAAGGGGGATCAGACCATCTGATTATTCAGAGTTGATTCCTCTTTCCCCAAGTCGTTTATGACTAGTTGCGATTTGCAGAAAATGTTGGCGGACGGACGACAGATGCCTTGCCATGGTACACGCTCATCAGTCCTTCCGGACACAATGACTTAGCTAGTGAAAAAATAGATACAGTCAATAAAATGACTATATTTTTTAATGAGGTACATTTCTGGTTTTTATCTCCATGAAAGCTACCCAAATCCAACCACAGTAGGAAGAAAATATACGAATATCCTATAATCGGGCACAATTATTTTGGTGAAAATCATCGGGGTGAACCCAGCATAACGTCAGGTAAACAGAGCTTTAAAAACGAACAATTGAAAATATACATTGTGTATGTTGCAGGATAAATAGAATATATGGTCAGTGTCTTAAAATATAAGCTGCATTTAGGCTCGTTATTCTTGTCTGTCAGTTTAAGACAATAATACAAAATTGTATACTGTATTGTTACTTACATAAGCCTGTGCTGCTTTTGAATGTACAATGAAGTGTGTATGCTCCGGATGAAATGATGAATTTCAATTATCACTGGTCTCTAATTATATGATCATTTAAATTCACATCCTTTTGTACGAATTTGATTCATAGTTTAATGTTTTTATCATGTGATATATGATATACAGCTGTATTACGTGTATTATCATGTCTTTTCTCAGTTCTATACCAGTTATCTCCCTTCCTCTCCTTAAACCTATACAACCCCTACACAAAATCTCTAAAACCAGGGAAACACAATATAAGATCTTCATCGACTCAATGTCTTTTCTCAGTTCTATACCAGTTATCTCCCTTCCTCTACTTAAAAAACCAGGGAAACACAATGTAAGATCTTCATCGACTCAATGACTTTTCTCAGTTCTATACCAGTTATCTCCCTTCCTCTACTTTATTTTGTCATTCTGTTCCTGAACTGGAAATGAAATAGCATTGGTCGACGGAAATCAAGATATATCTAATAAGTCCATACTTTAATAACTTTATCATACCTGTGCAAACCTATTGTTTGCCGGTTGAATCCATCTAGTCCACTGTTGTAGGGAAGAAAGGGTTACAACCATTACAACAAATATCGAGACAATGTTAACACAGCAAAAACCTTTCATTTGGTAAAATTACATTTTATCTACCGCCTTTTCCCTTTTTTCATAAATCACGACACTTTGTGTTCTGTATTTGTGCACAACCTCCGTTTGATGTGATCCAAAGTATGTCATGTCGGTAATGTAATCCAAAGTATGTCATGTCGGCAATGTGATCCAAAGTATGTCATGTCGGTAATGTGATCCAAAGTATGTCATGTCGGTAATGTAATCCAAAGTATGTCATGTCGATAATGTGATCCAAAGTATGTCATGTCGGTAATGTGATAAAAAGTATGTCATGTCGGCAATGTGATCCAAAGTATGGCATGTCGGTAATGTGATCCAAAGTATGTCATGTCGGTAATGTGATCCAAAGTATGTCATGTCGGTAATGTGATCCAAAGTATGTCATGTCGGTAATGTGATCCAAAGTATGTCATGTCGGTATTGTGATCCAACACCAACAGCTAGGGTCACATCAATATCAAGATGACACCAACAGCTAGGGTCACATCAATATCAAGATGACATCAACAGCTAGGGTAACATCAATGTCAAGAAGACATCAACAGCTAAGTCACATCAATGTCAAGAGGACATCAACAGCTAGGGTCACATCAATGTCAAGAAGACATCAACAGCTAGGGTCATATCAATATCAAGAGGACACCAACAGCAAGGTCACATCAATGTCAAGAGGACATCAACAGCTAGGGTCACATCAATGTCAAGAGGACACCAACAGCTAGGGTCACATCAATGTCAAGAGGACACCAACAGCTAGGGTCACATCAATGTCAAAAGGACACCAACAGCTAGGGTCACATCAATGTCAAGAAGACATCAACAGCTAGGGTCACATCAATGTCAAGAGGAAACCAACAGCTAGGGTCACATCAATGTCAAGAGGAAACCAACAGCTAGGGTCACATCAATGTCAAGAAGACATCAACAGCTAGGGTCACATCAATGTCAAGAAGACATCAATAGTTGAAAACGAAAAGTAAGAGCAATTCAGGAAAGAAAGGAAAAGATCAAATCCCAAATGTTGCAATGGGGGAAGCAGATCAATGTTGGTCTCTTCCATGTCACCTTATTAGAATAAATGGAAGAAACTGACTTTTGTAAGGGTCCGACTAAAAGCTGCCTACTACGGTAGTGCACTGGAATTCTTGGGCGTGGATGATTGTAAATGGAAGACGAAGATGGCAATGCATGTATTGATTTTATATTAGATAAGCCGAAAACTCTACAATATGTGTGAGAGAGAAGATTCCACTATCACATATATTGTACAATCTGAGACTTATCTTTAACTTAATAACTTAATATTTAATAATAACTTGGGTTATTTAAGGAACAACTATTTATTAATTTTGATTTCCAACGCGAGTTACCTCCCTTCATCCACTCGATAATGTTCAGCCCTCTTAGACCTTTTGTTTTCACCGGAAACGACCATTCATTTCCGGTTTTGTCACGGTGAACAAGAGGAAAGATTTCAATTGCTGTAATATCCACGATTATCTGAAGTGTTTATCAGCATCATCTACCGAACCTGTGTCAGATGGACGGTAATATCTTCTTGACATGCTTCCCAAGAGAAGGAAGTCTAACAGCCCGTACGCAAGTGCTGTCCGTAGAGGTGTAACAGGGGACCGACAGGATGTGGAGGAGATGCCGGAGCTGCCACAAGCTATTAGTGGGGATATGAATAGTATGGACCATGGAACAGCTCCCATCTGAAGTGTGCCTTCAGGTATTGACACTGGTGCTGTGCCATCCCCATTGTTAAGTGTTGGGGACACTGTGGGGGCACATGTTTCACAAGCAACCAGGGATAAGATATGGGGGTCCGAATATATTGATATGGGCATACTTCTGGAAACAAACCAGGAGTTACTCAACACTCAAACATTGACCCTTGTCGATGGAGCTTTTGTATTAAAAAATAAAGGGTCCAAGAAAAAAATTAAATCTATAGAAGCCTGGACAGATGCCTTTATCATTTACACATCTATTTTTACTCAGAGGCATGACAGGGGGTAGGAACTTCTAAAGTACATGTCTGTTGTCAGACTGGCAGCAAAATCTTTCAGGGGAATGCGATGGAAATCCTACGATGAGCAGTTCCGCCTCCGTCAAGCACGTCAGCCTGAGCGGTCTTGGGCTGTGGTAGATAGGGAGTTATGGTTGACATGCCTGACAACGGGTATATCTCGGTCCGGAGATTTACTAACTCAGAACAAAAACTTTGGGGCTAAAGGTGGTTGTTATGATTATAACTTCAAAGGGTTCTGTCAAAGGACAAATTGTGGTTATGTTCACAAATGTTTGCAGTGTGGTGTTGGCCACCCCAAAATATCTTGTTTTCGGGGTAATCAGGTTCATGATAATATTAACAGCCAGAAAATGAACTCCACAAACATGGGGGTTAAGCAAGGTCAGAGTATCAACCAAGCACAGGACCAGAGCAATTTTCGTCCCCAAGCTGCCTCATACAACAAATATCACTACCACAGAGATATGGGTTCTAGGAAAAACACCGATCAACAAAACAGTGCTCAATAACTATTTACAGTTATTTCCAGACAGAAACACAGCACATGCTTTGAAGGTTTTGATTGTGGTTTTAAGCTTCATTACCATGGTCCAAGATACCCCAGGGAATCAAAGAATTTACTCTCTGCTCATCAAAATCAGGATATCCTAGTCTCAAAATTGCAGCTTGAGGTGGATGCAGGAAGGATGGTAGACCCCTTTAAAAGCAAACCCATTTCAAACCTTAGGGTTTCCCCGGTAGGTTTAGTTCCCAAAAAGACAGGGGGTTGGAGGTTAATTCAGAACTTATCTTACCCGGAAGGTGATAGTGTAAATTATTTCATAGATGAGGCTTTGACGTCAATGCATTACACTTCATTTGATCAAGCTATGTCAATTGTTCAGAAGTTAGGAAAGGGGGCCTTGTTAGGAAAAAAGGACATAAAGTCTGCATTCCGTTCACTTCCTATTTTCCCAGG